GAGCTGGGCGATGGAGCCTTGGCACCCCGTTTCCAAACCTGTCTGTAACTCCCTGCATCTGTCTCGTGCATCTGTCTTTCCCAGCGCACCGGCAGCAGTCCCAGTTAGCAGCAAATTTAATTACAGGGGTGTGAAAGAGGCTGTTGGACCCCTGGACCCCCTTTTTTTTAGAGGAAAAGGAAATGCCAAGTTCCAGCGCTGTGTTTGGCTCATACAAGGTGGATGGAAAAAAAATCCCGTTGTAAAAGAGGGAAGAAATGTCTGCTGTCTGTCTTACAGGGCTCTTGCCTGGGGCTGGGGGACCACAGGGCAGATTTTTTTCTGTTCATTTTTTCCTCCTGACCGTGATGAATTACTTCTCTTACAGCAGGCGGCAAGATAATAACAGGTCCAAGCTCTGGTGTTCAGAGAGTATGTTCTGGTAACTGGGCAGCGGTGTGCTATTCATGGTGAAATAACTTTCAGATAATGTAGTCAAAATTGCCTCCTGACCTACTAAAGGGAGGTTTCAAATATCTGTTATAAAATGCAAAATTTCAGGAGGAAATTGTTATGAGATCTTTCCTCAAGGGAAAGGGCAGAATAGCTTAAAATTCTTCCAAGATACAAATAGTATCAGAGCTTTTGGTAATGCTCTTAACAGGTTTGGACAGAGCCTACTCCTCGCAGAACAACTCCTGTTTCCCAGCAGCTTTGTCGGATGAATTTCAAGCTGGCCATGCAGCCACCGCCGTGCTCCCTGCCCTGGCAGAAATAACGTGGGGAGCTGACCCCAGGCACGACGGAGGCGCTGTGTTGCCGTGGGAAGCGGGATGCTGCTGGGCTTGGGCGCATCTGCGCAGGATGGACGGTGGTGGCCGGGCAGGGCTGGGGACGAGGTCGGCATCGTTGCTGCCGCGAGGGCGGCCAGCCTCGTGCGTGCTTTGTGATGGGAATAAAGCCTGAGCGCTGGTCATGGTTCGCATGGAAACTTACAGACAATCCAGTTTATATCATGGAGTTAGAATATTGTTTGCTTATTGCTGGCGTGGTGCTCTTGGGTTCATTTTTCTGGAGGCTGGACAGTGAGATGATGGGACTTCTCCCACCGTGCAGAGTGTTTTTAGGCTTGTTCCAAGTGAGAAAAAAGGTGTCTCAGGTTTTGGGGCGGTGGCTTTCCATCAGTTGTGGACAGGCGCCTGCTCTTCCAACGCTTCTCTTTCCCCTCAGTGCTCCTGACGGGCAGGACCCTGTTGTTGCAGGGGTGTGTGTTTGTATGTGTAACTCCGATTCAAAACTGTCCTTGAATATGTGAGGTGTATTTTTATGCATCCTATATAAATATCAAATTTCAGAATATCAGGATACATGCAAAGATATTTTATTTGCATACATGCTGTGTATGCATAGGCTGTATATTTATGAACATAAGGTATGTACATAGCAAACTATACTATAAATCTGTGCTGCTTAAATACATATGTGCGTGCATTTCATGTATATAGTGAGTCAATGCAGAAGATGTTATGCAATGGCTGATGTTTATTCTTCTGTCCTTTGCAGGAAAGGTTTCAAGTGAAGAATCCTCCCCATACATACATCCAGAAGCTGAAGGGCTATCTGGACCCGGCTGTCACCAGGAAGGTGAGGAGCATCCTGTTTCCTCTCTCCCATCCCTCGTTCCTCCGCGAGGATGGTCCCAGGCTCCGGGTTCCTTCCTGCCTTTGTGTAAGAGAAGAGCCCCAGAGATACAACAAACCGCAGAGAGAAGCAAAGAGAGGCTGGGAAGACTCTGCGGTTTTCACAGCTCGGGAAGGAGAACAGATGTTGCAGAGAAAAGGACCATCTGACACGAGAAACAACTTGTTTTAATAACTTCAGCTCCAGTAAATAGTCTGACAAATTGTCGCTGGGCTCTCCTCTCGGGCTGACTTCCCGCGTGGGCAGTGCTGGTGGGGAATAAACCTCTGTGGGATGGCGCTGGGCTCACGAAGGGATGTGGAAGGGTTCAGCCCTTTTCTCTGACGGAGGTTCAGTAACCTGGGGTGTATTTCCATGGCAGAGCCTCATCCTTCCTTCTGCCTATTATTTTGTCTGAAATAGTTTGTTAATCACTCATGAAAGAGTCACCCACTCTACTTGGCCTTTCACAGGAGCATCCCTGAACGTGGTTTCTGTCTTGGTGGCAGGTTTCTGCTGTTTCTGCGCTGCTCCGATGGGCTCAGAACTGCCCCTGGGATTTTAGGATCACAGTGAGCCTACATCCCATTTAGACGACTGTCGCTGAACCTTTGCTATTTAACCACTTTGGATCTCAGCTCCCATCCTGTGTTGATGGTTTATAATAGCCTTTAAAAAAAGGCAAAAAAAAAAAAAAAAAAAAAACAAAAAAAAAAAAAAAAAAAAAAAAAAAAAAAGGCAGCGAGCGCAGAGCAGAGCTGCCGTTGAGCGGCTCTGCCTTGTCCTGGACAGTCGCGGCTTTGTCTTGCCATACAATTGGCTGAGGTTGGTGCCCTGCAGTAAAATACGGATCCTGACACGGGGCTTCCAGGCCAGGGCCAGCTCTGGCCGCGGCGGAGATGCTCCTGCATCCCTGCGCAAGGCGAGGGGCGAAGGCGGGGTACCTGTGCTGCCAGCGCCCGTGGCTGGCTCCTGGCGTCAGGGGCACGTCTTCTGCCAGCGCTGCTCTTGCTGGGGGCTCCGACAAGGAGCAGGAAACCAGTTAGTAGGAAACCTTTAAATTTGCCTGTAGCTGATTATAGCTTTTTGGGAAAAAAAAAAAGTGAAGAGGGGTCTTTGTGTTTTTTCTCCTGCAGGGTTTTTGAAATTCATTTAGTGTTTGGCTTTGCTCTGCGGTTACTCCGTGGGCACACATTGGAGCCTTTCTTCTCCTAATAGCGCTCAAAGAGTCCCATGACAAATGACAAAACCGAAGGAGCCTAAAAATAACTCCGCCGAGTTCCTCTCTTTTGTTGCATTATTCCGTATCACCAGCAGCCTTTCCTCAGCCCCGGCTGCCGGGCGGAAAGATTTACAAACGGGGTTCTGGACGGGTGCGCAGTGTTGCGGGGAGAGGTCGTCTTACCGGGATTGGGGTGGTGTCGGCGGTTGTGCTGGTGATCCTCGGCGTGGTCAAGAGAAGGCGGCTCCCAACCCTGCAGTAAAATGTGTGTTTGGGCTGCTAATTAGGGCTGTAATGGCTCTTCCCAGGAAAATAATTGAGTTTTTTTTGTCTGAGCTGAGTTTTGGAATGGGAAAATTAAAGTGTTGAAATGAGACATTTTTAAAGAAATTGGGGTTTGGTGGCTCCTGGAGCCCAGTAAAGCTCAGAGCTAGCATGGGGCACATGGGGACATCCTGCCTGTTCCTGCCCTGCCCTCCCACCCCAGGCTCCTGGCCACCCATATTTTACCGTTGGTTCTAGAGCGGTAAGGCTGGACATCGCTTGCAGTTTTATTGTGTAGAGTGTCTCGGGAGGCGAGGCTCTGCGTGTCTCTGAGCTAATTAACTGGGGTCCGGAGAAGCCATATGTCTGACCCCAACTACCTGTTTTAAAGTCAGAATTAACAGTGCCTCGTGGCTGCTAGCACTTTACAGCGAGACATCTATTTCAGCCTGCCAGTGGCTCTCTGGGCTGGGGTTTGGTAAGCCAGTGGTGCTAACGAGGGTGTGATAAAACCCTGGTGAAAAAGGCAGCCGATGGTTTCCACCAAGGTCAGCCAGGTAAATCCTGTCCTTTCATCATCCTCGCCTCAATAAATGAACTCCTGAGAACTATTAACTGCCGAGTAGTCCCCGTGGTTTTATTGTGGTGCACGGAGAGCAAACCCTGACTGCGCCCGTATTCCGAGCGTAGTCCTCGCTTGCATCCTGAGCGTTTATAAACTCTTTCCAAACACATCGAGTCCATGTCTGCGATAACCGATGACCAGGTTGGTCGTTAAGTGCTGCAGCTCCAGGATGGTTGCCATCGTCCATCCACTCCTGCTCTCATTTACCTTCTTCACAAGTGAGAATTTCCCAAAACCACGGCTCCAAAAACCAGTGCTCTGCACTGCTGGTTGTGCAGAGGATGGAGAGGAGCCACTCAACGCGACTCAAGACAAGTTGATGTGCATTTAGAGGTCTTCTGCCATGACCAGTGCTCTCGCTGCGTCCCAGTGAGGTTCTCCCAGGTCACCTTTCTCCTCGCACATGGAGATGCCACGAAACCTCGTCCCCTTTCTGCTGCCTCGCTGCCCAGTCTTCAACTTTCACCATTTTATGGTCTTTTCCCAGCGTCTGCTTTTGCAGATAGATCTGAGTGTGTGCAGACTATTAAAGCATGCAGATGGGAGCACACACGGGTGTTTCGTTATTGGCTCGCACCCACGGGTCTGGTAGTTGCGTAGAAGTCGTGGCAGGTTTTTTGGTGTGGGTGTAAAGTGAGATGAAAGCACCAGGCTGAGGGTGAAGCCCAAACGCCGTAGTGCTCCATGGAGGGTTTGATACTGAAACAGAGCTTGTCATTGTTAAAAAATGTTTATCTATCTACAGGCTTTTAATTTTCTTAGTCCTGGAAACTCAAAAATGTGCAAGGGAACAGAAGTTATTTTTCTGAGGATGTCTTTGTCGACAGCCAGACTATTGTTGTTGCATTCCTCAGGATTTGGAGGAGTTCTCAGCTTACCTCCATGTTCCATTTATTTGTTCTGTACTGCCTGAGATGTTGATATTTTTAATAGCATCACATGAATCTGATTGTTATTTTTGCCTGCTCACTCAATTACAGAAATTCAGAAGACGAGTCCAAGAGTCTACTCAAGTACTCCGAGAACTGGAGATTTCTTTAAGAACAAATCACATTGGGTAAGACTTTTTGATGATCTCTAGTCTTAAGATTTTTCTTTTTTTTTTTACATCTACTGATGGATGTCTTTGAGAAAATATCTCTTTGCATGTCAAGCAGTGATACCGCTTGATTGATCCTTAAAGCCTGAAGGGCTCAGTTAAGGGCGAGCTGGGCATCTCGGGAGAATAATTCAGCTCTAATCCTTTTATGATGGGGTTCATCCACATCTCTGTGAAGGCTGTGAAAAGATTGCAGTCAACTTCTGTGTGCCCTGAGCATGGTTGTGTCTAGAATAGCAATAGTATGGCAGCTATAAATATATCCATAAAAAACTCCCACGCGGTTTATTAATCTCAAATAGCAAAAGTAAAAAAATAGCCGGAGACTTCAATTTTTTTATCAAATACACCATTCCCATCCATCTTTCCACCGGTCTCAGCCCCTGCTTTGGGTCTCAGGACACCAGCTGGGAAGGTTTCTTCAGCGTTTTGTTCCATGCCCACACCATACATCCAGCTCAGTGACATGCGTTTGCCAGGATGCTGCTCTTGTTTCCAGGAAACACGGGTGGTTAAGCTGTGGGGGGAATAGCTGCTCCCTCTCTGGGACCCCGGCACATCCATGGCCCTCTTGCAGCCATGCTGCTGGGGTGGGAAAGGCCCTTACCAGCTCTGGAGCTCGGTGCTTAGGACAGACAGCTATTTTCTGAGCTATGCAGAGTGTGTGTAGCTGGTTTTAATATATTTTTTTTTTGGTGGAATGTTTTTCCCACCCTAGTGCTGCCGAAAAGCCTGTTTCAGTGCATTTGTCAAGTCCTGTAAAGGACTCTTATTTTAAATTCCTCTAAATAATGAACAGCAGTTTTAAAAAGTCCTCTTTGCTATGATTCTGTGATTTTCCTGAGTGAGAAAGCAAGGTTTTGCCCAGCCTTTCCTGCCGTGGGTCTGTCTCTGGTTTATCAAGGATTCCAGCACACAGCCTGTGAAACGCTCTAACGTCTCCTGATTTCTCTAACAGATGGGTCAGGGAGTTCCTGAATGAAGAAAACAAAGGCCTGGATGTTCTGGTGGAGTACTTGTCCTTTGCACAGTACGCAGTCACGTAAGTAAGCCGTGCCTGGTGCTCCCTGGGCTTGCGGGGCAGAGCAGGAGAGGGAGACGCCGCGTGGGATGCTCAGCTTCCCCGCGGGGTAGTGCTGTGTGCGTGCCTCAGAGCAGGGAGAAGGGTAACGTGAGTCCAAAGCTGTATCTCCTACTGCACTGATTATTATTTTTTATTTTTTAGTATTATTTATTATTTTATTTTTAGTGTTATTTTTTAGCTTGGGTACCATCTGGGGGTTCCAGTGCAAAGCCATTCAGCAGATGCCTGGAAGCGTGCCGGCGTCCTTAGGAATAGCTTTGCAGTTAGTGCCCGACCCCAGGAAATTTTCCTGCTGCCTGCTGCGTTCAAAGCAGCATCCACACGTTAGCTTCTGACGAGGCTCCTGGCCAACAAGGCTGTCCGCATCCTTGCGCAGCTGCAGGGTAACAGGAGGGATTTCAAGGTGCTTTTGCAGGTTGGGAAGACTAGAAAAGGAGCTTTTGCGATTCTGACACCTGGTTAGCTGGGAGTCAGGTGTGGCCATTTAGGTAATAAATCATTAAATGTAGTCTGTTAAAATAAATAGTGAAAAAAAGGCTTTTGTTAGTTGTTACATCACACAATTTGAGATGGATGTTCAGTTGAGGATCTGGTTTTGTGTATCCACCAGCTTTCACTTGGGGATATTGTGGCAGTAGATTTTTATGTAAAATTGTATGAAAAGAAGCAGTAGGTTAAAGATACTCTTGCAGTTAAAAACTCCAACTGAGGAGAGCTGTGATTTTATTTTTAGAAAAGATGCCATCACATCCATGTATATCGTTGCACAGAAAAAGAGATTTATGGCGGGGTTGCAGTAAAATTAATGAAGGAAAATTATATGTTCTAAAATGTTACCGACACTGGAAAAAACTGTGCGCAGCAAAAAGAAGTGTTTGTGCAAAGACTTTCTTCCTGAAATTATACAAATGTATGCAAGTTAGCTTGCTGGGTTTTTCCCCTCTCCAACGCGGTAAACATGAGTAATAACCTCAAAAGCTGCAAGGGGAACAAGCAATTTTTAACTTGAAATAGCAGCACAATGGGCAACGAGTCAGAAGTCAAAGAAAATCTGTAATTATGATGGGAATTTATTACATATGCTGGGGACTGGTGAGGGCCAGCAAGGTGGTGTAAGTGCTCGGTCACATATTGATGGAGGAGACGGAATTGGGACTGGCACAACGGATTGATGGATTGAAAGAAAATGGACAGAGCTTTGGGCAGCCCCTCGCTTTCCTCCAAGGCAGGGCAATCATCATTTCATCAGCAAAGCGGCCAATGTTGGATTTATTTTGCGTGGAAGGAGGATAGTACGGAGCTGTTTGACCCTTCTGAAGTGGTGCTGGTGCAGTTGGCTGCTGCCTTTGCCAAGGTCCCAGGTTGCTGCACTGTGCATTTGAAGCTGGTGCTGAATTGCAGCCGAAATGCAGCTTGCGTTGCTTTCTTCCTTTCTTTTTTGTAATTTTTTGTGTTCTGCTGAAATCTGCAGCTGTTGGACAGGAGGGAAAACGCTCTGTGCATCTCTGCTGTCTGATGGAATTTCTGTTTCCTTTCAGGTTTGACTTTGAAAGTTTGGAGAACAACGTGGAAAACTCGGTGGACAAGTCCAAACCGTGGAGCCGCTCGATCGAGGACCTGCACCGAGGCAGTAACCTACCCTCGCCGGTGGGCAACAGCATTTCCCGCTCCGGCCGACACTCGACTTTACGGTGAGGAGTTCCATCAGGCTGCACCTGCAGACAGCCGGTGCCCGCCTGAGCAGTCAGGATGGTTTTTTCCCATGAGAATATTTTTCATCTTCCCTCTTTTCACGGGATAGGCTTGACAGCTGTAGGAAATGTGTCACGGTGCTGATGGTTTTGGGGTGGAAAGAAGTGCTAGGCTAGTGGCGTGGGGCAGCATCACGCAGAAATTGAGGAAGAGGCAGGAATACCCTCCCTTTCCAGCGGCACAGTGATCTAAGGATGTGCCGTAGGTTTCCGTCAGGTGCCGTGTGGCTTGCGCAGAGGAAGCGATTCCTCTTCAAAGAGTGTTTCAGGATTTCCATGGACCTGGCCAGTCTGGGGCTCCGATCTGGTGTCTCGTCCAAAAGGTCTCTTCTAGCAGCACATTCCTGCCGTGCTGCCGTGAACAAGAGGTTTTTTTATTTTAAAAGGCCACTTCCATCCTTCAAACCTGCTGTTAATTCTGGCACCAGCCCAGGCTTTGCTATGAAGTCTCTCGTTCCAAATACTGAGTTTTTTGGTGGAAAAGGCAGGACCGCTTCCCAGCACTGCATGGCAGTCAACTCGGTTACGTCCCTTTGATGCCTCACTATTATAGGACATCCTGACCCCACCTGTGACCTGCGGGTACAGCTCTGAGTGCCCAGTGACATTCACTCTCATGCTTTTTGACTTTTTTTTGTCTTTTTGTGAAGTTCTGTTGCACAGTACTGTGAGCATAAAGGAGTCCAAAAAAGATGGAGCCGGGGAGGACGTGCAGCTTTTTCCTGCATCTCCCAGCCGAGGATCAGGGCTGGTTTGTCAGCGGGTGGGGTACCTGAAGATGGAGTTCCCAGACCTCGGGCAGGGCAGGGGAGGGACAGACACACGGTTCTGGTAAAGAGATACAGGCTGTGGAGAGCAGCAAAATCACTTAACCAGTTGATTTTTTTTTTTAAATGTTGCGAAGGTGTTCTTAGTGTTTTTTGGGTTCTTTGATCTTTAATTACTGTGACAGAGCAGCGGTAGAGCTGTGTGCATGCAGGAGGATGGCTGCCTGCACTCTGTCTTTGGGAGTAGCCACCCTCGAAATGCGTGAGTCAGGGATACATGATGTGCCTCTTAACATTTTTTCTCTTCCTTTCCTTCCATCCTTTTCCCTTTTCCACACCCCCCTTTATTCCTTCCCTTTTTTATTTTCCATTGCATCCTTCATTCCCCTCCCTCTTTGAAACGCTCGTCCCTGATTCTCTCTCTCGCATCCTTCCCTCTGCTCTCATCCACCTTCCACACACCGTCAGATCGGTTTCTCTGCCTGAGCAACTTCGGTTCAAATGCCACCGCCACCAGAGCTGCTTTTCAGCCAACTGCCTCTGGAGCGGCTTCACTCGGCGCTCTGCCGATGAGGCTTCGAGCCGGCAAATCTCGTAAGTCCCAGGTGCCAGGTTCCAGCAGCCCGGGCTGCGCGGGGCATGGGAGCCGTGTGCCCGGCGCCGCTCCCCATGCCGGATAATCTGGTAGTCGCACGTCTTGGGAGAGCCACCGCCGGAGCATCGGGGGAGTTTTCAGCCTCCGAGATGTGTGGTTATCACATTATAACTTCAAAGCGTAGTTTGCTTCCGTAGAGTGGGATTTCTTAAAAAAAAAAAAAAAAAAAAAGAGTTTTTATTTGAAACAAGATGCTAGTTTTCTTTCTTATTTTGCAAATAGTATTATTAGTTTCATACTTAAGGACATAGAGCCTGGTCGTTGTCCATGTTATTTCACCTTTTTTCTTACAAACAGGGACTCGTATCCAGAACTGGCACTCTAGTACAGTTTTTTTCAGCCCTCTCCTGCCTGTAGAGCCAGCTTTGCACTGGGGAGACTTGGGCAGAAGCTGTCCAACAGTTACGTGGAATTAGCATCTTTGCTTTGTGTTTCATTAAAAAAAAATAAATCAGTGTTTTCAGTGTTTTCGAATGTATGTTTTCTCAATAGCTGGAGGCTATGTGTGTTCAAAAAAGTAAAAGCTAAAAGTAGGTGGGAAGTTTTTAAGACTGGTTTTTTTTTTTGTATGATTAGTAAATATTGGCTAATTGGAACAGGATCTTTTCCTGAGCACGAGCTCGGTGCTCGTCAAAGGAGGAGGGTGTGCAGGATGGCGTTTCTGGGCAGAACCAGGAGGTTCCTGCCCGTCGCTGGGACACACACAGACCCCGGCCACAGCATCTTCTGCCTGGAACCTCCTCTTCTGTCTTTGTTATAAAAACCATTAACGTGGAGAGAAAGGAAGAAGCCGTCCTCCCCCTTGGATGAAAAAGCAGAAGGCTGACAATCTTCACAGGGTAATGTAAAATTCAGGAGCTGGCCTCACCCCTGCCCTGCCACAGCAGAATGAGAATTGGAGAACAGATTTCGCCTGGGTTCCTTTTTATTAAAACAGCAAGAAGATGTGGGGAGACGGTGTTTCCTGCCAGCTTTAACACGGGTTTGTTTTTTTTTCCTCATTTTTGGTGCCTGTACGGCAGTGTCACAGCACCAGCTCTCGCGCCCATCCTCAGGGTTCAGTAGCAATGAAACCCGCTGCAGCCCCGCAGGATCCCCCGTGGTCCCAGCCTGTGTGCGGTGCTCACATTTAATTAGAGCAAAAGGAACAGGAGATAAGCACAAAGCAAGGTGAGGAGGCACCGGCAGGGTTATACCCCTTGCACGCGATGTGGCTGCACGGGCGTGAGCAGTTCTTGCAGCCGGGCAGGGCGAGCCGGCAGCGGTGACGTGGGCACGGAGGTTTGCTGTCTGTCCGTCTGCGTGGCAGAGGCTCTCCAGTTCTAATTGTGACTTTAACCGGCTTCCCAGAGCTCTTTTTAGTCCTGCTAAACCCTGCCAGTTCCCTGCTCGCTGGGTTTCCTTGGCAACTGCTTTTTTTCTTTTTTTCTTTTTCTTTTTTTTTCTTTTTTTTTCTTTTTTTTTTTTTTTTTTTCCAGAGGAGGCATAGGGATTTGGGAAGCAACCACCAAAATGAGGGCAGGAGGATAAAACCGGGGATGAACCTTTGGGGATTTTATTGCTGCTTTTTTGGGGGGGGGGAAAGAGCATTGCTTTCACAGGAGAGTCCTGCTCTCCTCTCAGATCAGTATTGATGCAGACTTTGTCATGTCCCAGCCCGTTAGAAATTCCCTTTCTTCTGAGTCAAATACTTTGATTTTTATGTGGATTGAACTGAGAAACTTCATCTTTCTTCAAAGTCCATGGAGTCCATAATAAGAGAGCGATCCAGGCAAACATAACTTAATCCATCAACAGGCTTTGAATGGCAGATTTCTTTTTTTTTTTTTTTTTTGCCTTTTTAAAGCAACAGATCTCCCCTCAGCTTTATGGATTAATAATTTTCCCAGGTTCTGTTAGATGAGGACAAAACCAGCAGGCTCAAAGTCATTGATTTTCTTTGCAGTTGTGGCACAACCCAGCTTTGTCACTGCTGTTAGAAGGGGCAGAAAGGAGACGTTTTTGGGCAGAAAGGAGACGTTTTTGGGCAGAAAGGAGACGTTTTTGGGCAGAAAGGAGACGTTTTTGGGCAGCACGGCTCCTGCCTGGCTTCCCTCGCCCGAGCGGAGGAGCTGGTCGCACCTCCCTGGTTTTAGGGCTTGTGGGGGCCACCCCTGGGCACAGGTCATGGTCTGTCCCTCTCCAGACCTCATCCCCGCTGGAGGGGTGCAAGTTCAGGGTCACCACGTCCAGCAGACCCAGCTTACTCCAAGAGATGGGAGAAATCCCAAGTGGTTGGGAGGCGCCAAGACCTTCCTCTTCCAGAGTCCCTTTCTGCTGTCAGCAGGACATTCATCATCCAACCACCGCCACCTCCAAAATCACCAAAATTCAACCCAAACCCCAAGGAAAACCAGGAGCCCCAGCCCATGCCACCAGCCAGGAGGGCGGTGAGGACCTCCCCATGCTGCCCTCTGCTCCCAGTGCTCCCAGTCCAAGGGAGCCAGCGGAGGGAAGCAAGGGCATGATATTCTTTAGCAGATAAGAAAAATAAAGGAGAAACCAGCTGTGACTTCTGTTTGTCATTAACGCAGTGCATTACAAGTCTACACCACTGGACTGGGCAAGTGTCCTTGTTTTGAGCATGGACGTCCTTCTGTTGAAGTTGTTGGAGATGGCAGGAGCGTGTGTTGAGATTTGTGCTCACTTACATGGTGGAAAGGGCGTTTATTTCCCTGGAATACCGTAATTTGTTGTGTAGGTGATTTCATTATCCATCTGTGGGTCTTCGGTGTCCGTGTGAGCTGTTCTGCGGCAGAAGACGCCCTTGTGCGTCGTGTTCTGTAGGTGTTGGTTGTACAAAGCACAGGATGAGCCCAGGACGCGCTGGATGTTTTCAGCGGTTCTGGTTGATCGCGTTGACATGGTAACGTGGACGTGGAGGCAGGAGTAGGTTGGGAAAATGAATTTCTTCAGGCTGGCTGGGCTGAGTGGTCCTTCTCACCTTGCTCCAGGAGGTGGGTGGGCAGAAGAGCAGCCTGGCCTCCAGGGATGTCAGTAAAGAGGAATTGTTAATAAACTGAATTGTTAATAAATTGAATTAAAATGATGAATGGGTTATTCTCGAACAGGAGTGTCCTTCTGTTAGATTTAGGTAAGAAAAATAACCTTAGATCGTATTTCAGCCCGGGTTTAGCCTGGGTTCTCGTGGTTGTTGGTTTTCATGGAGCAGCTCCGTCCCACGTGTGCCATCCCATAGCTGGCAGCTGCAGGAGGAGAGCATCGCATGTGGCCCATGGTCAGGTTTTGCGTTTCTGCTTTTTTCAGAAGTGAGGTTTTATAGTTCTTCTTTAAAGGATGGGCGGAGGAAATAAAAGAGGAACCGTCTGAATTTAATTAGCAGGATAAATATACTCTTGGTGACATAATCTTTGACCTGCAGCAGACAGGAAATCAAACCCAACAGTTCATCCAGATGCTCCCATGAGCTTGATGTTTGGTAACAAGAAATGAAATAACAGCAAAAGGAGATCATCCACCCTGGTGTGGCTCGTGGCATGTAGAGGGAGGTGTGGGAGCTGCCGCCAGCCTGCCCTGCCTTTAAGAAGGGAACAAATAACATCGGGGTCGTTGCAATTGCCGCTGATACACAGAAAGCATCTTGAACCTTAGTTCCAGCGTGCAGAGTCGTTGTTCAAGAGTTTCTGCACAAAAAATCCTCATTAATTCCTGGCATTTATGTCTGTGCGAAGAAATTTGCATCTGTTGAAGGGAAGCAGTCTAAATGTAGGGCAGGATCCCATCTGTGCTGGAGAGCGTTCCTCTGCACTGCAGCTCTCGATTGCTTATTCTGTGCCCGGTTCTCAGCCTCGTTGGAGACCAGCACGGGCGGGAAGCTCTGCGGGCTCTGAACGGCGCTGGTGGTGTCGCAGAATAACACGCCACCGACTAACGCCGCGCGGGGTGGCGGGGAGGACGGGAGGACTGCTGCGGGGACAGCACGGAGCAAGGTGCGCAGCCTTGCAGAGCCCCGTCTTGGGTTTGGGGAGCGAGTACACCAGCTACCTCTGCCTTTGCCTGGTTGGCTGGGGACTGGTAGGAGAGTCCTCCAAGTGAGCATCTCCAGGCTTCAGATGTGCCAGGTAGCGCCGAACGGGATGTCTGCAGCCCTTGGTGGCTTTCTGGGGGTCTTTCCCACCTCTTCAGAAGAGGCGAGGGTTGTTTTCACCTCCAGCCTTCCCTCTGGTGCCCGTGTTGCTCTGCAGAGTGGTGAGAGGTGTAGGGGGGAGCATCGCCCAGCCTGGGAAATCTCTGTCCTGGCGGCTTGGGTCCCGGGCTGGGTTCCCAGGAGATGGACCCAGCGTGCTCCTGCATCCCGCTGCATGGCAGAGCATCCTTGCTCCCTGATTGCGTTTCTCCTCGCTCCCCAAGCAGCTGGAAATGCCAAATTCTGGCTTTATGGTCATCTTGTATTGCTTTAGGAGACTTGCTTCTGTGCGTTCCAGCTGACAGAGCTCTGTCGGATCGCTGAAGGCATTCTGAAATGTAAGGAGTTGGTAACACCAGGCATCGAGGAAGATCTTTTTTGTTCTATCAGTGGCATGATAAAGATCTAATTACTCTGCTTATTTAAAGGAAAATAATCTACGCAGCCTTTAGGAGTTTAAACTGAGATAAGTCATTGTAGGAGCCATCTCTGTATGACTAGAAATGACTTTTGGATCTTTCTGTTGCAATATTTTTCTTTTTTTGTGAAATGAACATATAGAAACACACTGGTGCGGTGTGTTTACACTCTCCTGATGCCCATCCATGGGGACACTGGCAGGATGGCAGGACACCCCGCTGCAGCTCCATGCCCAGCCCCATTCCCAGCAGGAAAAAAAGGTGTCCCGGAGCCCCAGCACAAGGTGCAGCGCAGCACCCCATCCTGAGCACTCATGGTGGCTTGGGCCCAGCCCCGCAGCCTCATCCTGTCCTGGTCCACAGCCCACTCCCCTCCTTGGGGTCCGCTCCCCGAAACCCGGCTCCCGTGCTCTAACCGCTCCCCGTTCTCAGGCAAAACTAGGTCGTGTTTCCTGCAAACCTGCAATCCTGGAGTGCCCTGAGCTGACTTATGCATTCATATATATGGGAGAAAAAAAGAAAAAGCAGTTGGACTGAATTCTGCTTTGAATTCTGGGGTTTCTTTCATCTCGGCGCTCCTGGAAAACGAAAGCAAAGTAATTGCTGAAGCTGAGAGTCGCGGGCTCTCCGTGGGCAGGGTGGTTTTGCATGGTGCTCTGGAGCTCGCCGTGCGTTCTGCTCTCGTCCCACTCCGGAGCTGCAGGGCGAGGACGGCACCCAGGCGGCTGCGGTGAGGGTGGTGCTGAGCCACGGTCACTGCCCGGCGCTCAGTTCCCAGACCTCCTACATTTTGTTTTGTGCATTTAAAGTGAGAAAATTTGCAGGTATGCTCTTTGTGTCAGAGGGTGAGCTGGTGAGTCAGGATAAAACAAGTCTGTTAGTACTTGTTCAGGTATTTATTATTAATATTTACTACTATTACTATCATTAATATTAATTATTATTTTTAATAATAATGTTAATAACTGATGTTAAAAGCCACACCTCTTTTTTAAACAAAATGAATCACACGGATTAAACAAGCGGTAGCATCAACACCAAACAGAGCAACCCCCCAGGCGCACCCAGGAGATGCAGAGGGAAGAAAGAGGAAAACTGCAGTGTGAGAGCACCGAAGCCGGGTCGGCGACTTTTTTGCCCGCGAGCAGGAGATGCTCTGGGAACTTAGTAGGAGCAAGGCAGATGCTCAGCAATATTTTTCCTGCTCCCAGCAGTCTGTAGATCGAAGCATCCTGATCCAAGGGTTGCATCTTGTGTTTCGTACTTCCTGATGGATTTTTTCCTGGCGGATTTTTTCCTGATGGGTTTTTTTCCCTGTGAATTGGTGTAAGTGCTTTTGGAGCCCGTGGCAGTGGTGCTGAAGAGCTCCTGCTCCCCAGAGCACTGTATGGAGGAGTGCTGTGAAAATTCTCAGGTTTGCCTCGATCCTGTCACCTGGTAATTATGGGATGCCACATGTTCCCATGCTGGGAGAAATAATGACACGTTGCTCCGCATTGACGCACTCCATGCCACTCGGGCTTTCCTGGAGCGCTGGGATGGTTCTGAGGTGGAAAACCCTGGCTCTGCCTGTCCCCTGTTCTCCAGCCCACCTTCTCGCCCTACCTCGGCGTGTGCTTGGAGTCATCGCTGGGTACCAGCACCGGTTCCTGTAACTCCCAGTTAGGGACTGGAGTGCGAGCTAAGGATGCTGGAATCCAGCAGCTTTCCCCACTGCCCTCGTTCTCCTGGATCAAAGAGCAGCAAAGCCATCCCGTGTGCGTTCTCGGGCTGCAGAGGTGGCACTGGCCAGCGCGGTTGTCTGCAGCAGCCTTGTTTTAACGGAGGATGGTTGTATTTACTCCTCCAGCCAAGCTTCATCTCTGGATTTCCCTTTTTTCCCCCAATGGAGCTGCTCTCTGCAGAACAAGTGTCAGAATTTGCACATCGCTGCACGTGCATCACGTTATTTTTCTTTCTCTCTTCCTATCAGCAGATTTTTATACTTTCTTCCTCCGTTTCCCGGCCGGAGTGTGATAATGGGAAATCCAACAGGATCACTGCCTGCCTGGGGGTTTTGTTAGCCGCCGTTTTTACACTGTTAATGGGGGGAGCAGGATAGAGAATGTGTTTTTCCACCACCCATCACCTGCTGGAGGCAGCCAGCCCGGCTCTGCACAGAGCCTCCGTGTCCCTGTCCTGGCTGGGGGGTCCCTGCAGCCCCCCCACTGTTTGGATGGGGCTCAGCCCGCAGCAGGCGGTCCTGGGACTCACTGGGGTAGCCCTGAGGACACCATCAGCCGGTGGCACCGTTAGTGCATCACTGGTTTCCTGACCATCATCAGCATCCTCTCGTTGTTGTTCAGTTGCACCAATGGAAGAACATACATAGATTTCATGGGCAGCCCGTCTCCTTGTCTCCAATTTCCCGCGCTGGGCTCCTGGAGCGTGTTTTTTCTTAGAGAGATCAAGCGGCGTCTCAGGAAGAGCTGAAACGTGGTTCTCATTTACTGTCCCGTAGAAGCGACAGGTTGACAGGTTTCTCTTTGTGTTTATTCTGTGCGCTCGTTTAGCTGAATTCGAGGTTGCTATACCAGTTAGAGGTTACAATTACAGTAATTAATGCCTCTGTTCTGAGGAAGGCTCCTCAGGGCTGTGTTTGCCTGAGATCACTTGGAGGGCTTTCAGCAGGCTCAGCTGCGGCGCAGAAGAGAGGCACCATTCTGCAGCGACACGCAGCGGGAATTAATACATCCGCTGATGCCTGCGGACGTTCGGTTCCGTTAAAAGTCTGTGCCCTTGCTCGAGCAAAGTGCATGGAAAAAAAAGTTTGGGATAGCTCTGGTTGTGGGTGGATCGTTCTTCACGGCAGGAGGGATGGAGGTACCTGGCTGTGTGGAGGTCCCTGGCTGTGGCTGCGCCGGTGGACGGGCTGAGACCGTCCGTGCTGGTCCTGGGCAGTGGTGCCCAGCTGGTGGTCCTGGAGCTGTGCATCCGGAGCTTCCTGCGCTGTCAGCAGCCCGTTGCCTTTTTTCCTGCTTTATTTGCATGTGCGTTGTCCCGTGCTCAGCTGTGTTTTCACCCAGTGGAGGGGTATTTCCATCCCTTTGTTCTCACCACCTAAGAATTGCCTTGTGACTAACGAGAGCTGTTGTTGTTTGCAGGTATAACACCTTGCCCAGCCGAAGAACGCTAAAAAATTCCAGATTAGTGAGTAAGAAAGATGACGTTCACGTCTGCATCATGTGTTTACGGGCCATAATGAATTACCAGGTATTGCCTTGGTTGTTCTTTCGCACCAAACGACTTTTTTTGGTTTTGGGAGGGGGTAGGAGAAGGTTAGCGGTGAACTGTTAAGTTAAAACCGATGCAAAGGTTTAAATCCTGGCACATTCTGAGGCGGTGTAGCTGTAACATCGTCCTTGTGTGCCCATGCAGATGATTTACGAGGGATGGGAAGAGCTGCGTAGATAAGAGTGTGTGCGCGTTGGGCTGGTTCCCGTTTGCAGCCGTGGGTCTGGTTTGCACTAACGGGTTAGACGTGCAGCCCCACAGCCGAAGTTGTGATTTGTCTCAGAATTTAGAGCTAGGAAATAGGAGATTTTTTCAGAAGAGCTCCACACTGATGGGAAATCCAAGCTTTCACTCCTGCAATTTGCAATAGCTGCCAGTCAAAGACTAAGCTAGACCAAAGCTAATCTTATTTTCATTAATTTCTTTTCCCCTCCGTGGGATGCTGTGATCATGGCATGCCTGGGTAGCTTCAGAGACTTGGGATTTTTTGCTTAAAACAGAAGCAGCTAAAAGTTACGTGCTTCCAAGAAAGGCTGTGGTGAACACCAGCTCCCTGGGATTTAGTTCCTTACCTCGGATGGGAAGGATGCAAACAACAATCTTGTGCTAATAACCAGCACAGCGCTTTCCAAAGCAATTCTGCTTTCATTTTTGGAGAGCAAATCCAGCAGCACTTGTGCAATCCCTGCATGCTGCAGTCGCCCTGTGGAAAAGGAGGGATTTTGGCAGCTGGATTGCAAATTCCTCTTTGGAGAGTAAATGATGCACTTGTGTGTCAGAATTGAAAAGGGGAGGGAGGGGGAAGGATGAGCAGAGGGGCTGGCAGCGGTGTAGGAGCAGCTCCTGGACCACTTTTTGCTGGCTGACATGGTCAAACCGAGTACTTCTGACACTGTTAGTGACCGAGGGGTTGTTAGGCACGGTGGTAGATGGGAATGTGCTGGCTGACTTGGTAAACCCAACAGCGTTTCGTTTGGCTTAGAGCATCGTGAAAGGCTGCTGCCAGATCTGGTCAGACAGACGTAATTTGTTGGATTGTAAAAATAATAATTTTGGTCTCAAAACTGAAACAATATTTTCCTCTTCTCTTTTCAGTATGGATTCAATATGGTCATGTCGCATCCGCATGCCGTTAACGAAATTGCACTAAGTTTGAACAACAAGAACCCCAGGTAGGCTGCCCTTGCTTTTGGAGGGTGTAAGGAGTGGGTAAGTAAAGAGTCCGCGCAAAGGGATTTTCAGGGATACGCTTATGTGCAAACCTGTAGCAAAAAAAAAAAAAAATCAGTCTTCATTCTGAACCGGATTAAATCCGTGTTACGGTGCAAACAGATGAGCAGTTGCCATCCAGTTCCGTTGCTTTCGGAGGCTGCTGACTCTTCCGCCCAAAGTTCCCTCCTGAAGCCCTCCAGCTCTGTTGCAGCACAGAGATGACCTTGCTGCTGATGAGCAGCTTAGATGGGGATTTTCCTGACCAGTAGAAAAACCTTCTTAACTAGATGTTGTTTGAATTTCTTTGAGAGAGGGTTTCATTCTGGTTCTGCGCCGGGTTGCTGCTCAGCCGCAGCGATGGTGGTGTAATGGCACCGTGGCTGTGTCCCCTCCTGTCCCTGCACCCACGGTGACCCTGGCGGCCGCTTCCAGCAAAGCCTGGCGCTGCAGACCTCTTGCGTGTCTGACACCAAATCTGACATACAGGGGGTGAGCAAAACTCAAGGGCACTGTCTGTGTGTGTATAGCCCTTGCTGAGGCTGTCCGCCTGCCTTGCAGAGCGCTGGTTGGGATCTCATCCCGGTGGAAGGAGGTGCTTCCTTCCTTCCTTTGAGTTAGCCCTCCGTCAGCAAGCCTCGGCACGGGATAAATAGGAAGGATAGGGGGAGTTTATTGTTTTTATCATTTTTGGTTTCCTGTGCCTGGAAATCAGGCGGTTGAGAGAGAGCTTTAGTTTCCATTTTTGAAAGAAGTGGATTATTTAGGTTTCTGTTTATTAAAAAAACTGCTTTCAAATGTGGCTAAAATAATCTGAAGACAAAACTTAATGTTACTGCTGTTCAGAAGCTAATTTCTCTTTGTTTTAGCCCCATTTTTGCAGAAGCAGAAGGTTTGAGAGCTTAGGGTGGGCTGAGACGAGCCCAAAGGGAAGCAGCAGCTCTGAGGGATGCTGCAGAGCTGATCCCGTCCCCGGCCCGTGCACGCTGCGGAGCTCAGCGCCACAGGGGCTCAGGCTGGGTGGAGGATGGAGGCAGGGACCCCATCTCCTGTGGCTGTTGCCCAGGGGGAGCCCACCGACACAGCCGTGACTGGCCTGTCCCCGTCCCCACCCCGGCTGTGCAGGCAGTGGGGGGTGAGAGCTGGGCATCCCCCGGGCTCTGCGCACGCCCTTGGAGGGAATATTTCTGAAGATCTGTAGTAAGAACCCCTTGATCCTGTCTGAAAGAGCTTGGATTTTCTTCTTGTGGCAGGGGGGAAAAAAAAAAAAAAAAAAAAAAAAAAAAAAAAAAAAAAAAAAAAAAAAAAAAAAAAAAAAGATGAGTAAGAATTGAAAATGATACATTGAAAATTTCCTAGGAAAGTGAACATTTTATCTGGTTTCCAAAGATAACCTTGACACTTTGAAAGCCAAAAGGTATTTCTTTTTCTGTAACATCTGGTTTGAGTCGATGCTTTAGCATGAGACTAATTTCCTATGTGTCTGCATGATTTTAATACCTGCTCAGAGCTCATCTGGCCATAAAGTCCGGTTGGTGCTTTTGCCTTATGTGAACCCTGTAAGAAAATATTGGGGATAATTGACGTTAGAGTCACACTGTTGCATGCTTTTATTTCTGTAATCTGTTGCCTTTTCTCATTAATACACCTGTGTTAGCGCTGCTGTCAGTCAGTTGCCCAGATTTCTGATTCAAAAGGGGAAACGTGCCAAGGCATCCTATATTTACTCCAGTGAACCACATTTTTTTTTTTTTTTTTTTCTTTTGTGGCTGTGAATAATACGAATTATGATAGAAAATAATTCAGATTTGTATCAGGAAATAATACAGATTTGAATTATAACCGCCCTCATCACAAGCTGGGCTCGGAGGCAGCGGGCTGCGTTGCGGTGGAGACGGCTGACCAATGGCCCGTGTGCGGTGATCCTGGCTGGGGGAAAGCTGCCTCCTCCCCGGGGCTGCGCAGGGGAACCCTCCGGCAGTACCGGCTGTCGAAGGCTGGCGTGGTCTGCCTTTCCCAGAGTGATGCAACTGCCTTGGGTTTGCTTGAATTTCCACAAGTAGAATTTGTGATTTGAATTTTTTTTGCATGTTTTGAGAAGCATTGAAATGGGGGAAAACTGCATGATCCTGGGTCAGTCAGAATGCCCTGGATCAGACGATGCTCAGCATCATGCATCTTGCAAGTTTTCTAGTTTCAAGAGATGAAAAATACACGGGATGCGAACTGCGACTCCCAGTATCTCCACGTCCCTTTTGCAAACAGGTGGAAGGAAGATGGGTCATCACTTGTTGATCACTGACTGTTGCGGTTTCTTTTCTTCGCAGGACAAAGGCCCTTGTCTTAGAACTTCTAGCGGCTGTTTGCCTCGTCAGAGGAGGGCATGAAATCATTTTATCTGCGTTCGATAACTTTAAGGAGGTAGGTTACTCTGCTTTATTAGAATTTGATGCAAGAGTTCTCTTGCACGACGTTGGCTGGGTCTTCCTCGTTCAGCCCAATCCCCTGGGTTTCCATAAGCTGCAGATACTCCATAGGTCACTCTGGGCTGCACAGAATCAGCCCCTGGCGTTGATGCCATCGTTTTGTGTGCTTTTGTGTAAAGGAGCTGTAATCCCAACAAGGTGAATCCAGACTGGGAATTGCTCCCGTTACTTTTTGTCCCGTCAAGGAGATCTGGAGAGCTTTACTCCAGCTCTTCTGTCTCTGAGCACTCCTGTGTGTCCCTAGATGGAACAACCAGGACTGGTGTATTAGGTCTCCCATTTTCAGAGCCGTTTGCACAAGCCCTTGAAATGCAAACCTCCTGGTTTTACTGGCAGTAGGAGTTTTATTTGTGAAGAAATCATGAAATCAAATCTCTGTGATAGAACAGCGACTGCTGAAATGAATACAGGGATCCCGGTAGGCTCAGGTGGAGCAAACAGTGGGTGTCATGCGTTGAAGCATCTCACGCGTTTGCGTACAGCAGTTCGTGGGGTTTGAGAATGTCCTATGAAGGTTCAGAAGCACTAGTTTGGGAATCAGGTCCTAGAAAGCTGCTGTTCTAGTTTGACCATTGAATCTATGTGTGAATTTATTGTCAAAGAAAAAATTAACCTAGACTTACCAGCTCAAAAATTCTTAGACTTGATGAGTCCCAACTGGACTGTGCATAAACATGTAAGTGGGTTAATGCAGATGATCAACAAGCCGAGCTGTTATTTTTTTTTACTTTTTGTGTTTGGGGAATTATTTCTGGTGGGGAGATACCAATCTCTGATTTACATCCACTGTAAATATTTGCATGCTGTAGACAAATAACTGTATTTCTGAGCTGCTCATCGTTATGCAGGGCCAGAGCATAATGATGATGATGATGATGATGGTTTAAGCAATCTCCAGCGGGGGCCTGTTGTACAAACCTCAGTTTATAAGACCAGCCCTGTCCAAGGTGCGAGCTGTGCTGTGTCTGTAGAGCAACCCGAGGACGGAGGCAATGGGAACGGCACGGCCACTGCTGAGGCTTCCCCAGCTGAGAAGTGGAAGTCAAGTTGGAAATATGGTGTGACCATGGAGAAAGCCTTGTTGTTGGGTTGCACCAGCAGAAGGGATGGTCAGGATATGGAAGTGAGACATTCTGCTCCCAGCTGGGGAGAGGTCTGCGGTCCTTTGGTGCAGGCACAGAGCTGGGACTGGGAGTTTGAGCTTGGCTCTTTCATTTCTTCATCCGTAGCCTTGGGCGAGCTGCCGGTGTCTTGGTCTTTGTTGGCACCTTTGTGAAACGAAGGGATCATGGAAGCAAACGCAGATGGGGCTGTTATGGAGGACAGTCGGGTAATACCAGAGAAGTGCTTTAAATAGGAAAAGCGCTGTAGACATGCAAAGTACCATGTTGTTATTCCAGGCTTAAATTCTCCTGGCTTGTTGCTCCATTACAGAAGAAACAGGACTTGTTAGGGAGGAGGGTGTGAGGGATTACAGATAAACTGGGCAAACGACTACAGCTGGAATACCCGTGGTCGGGATGGGCTGTAGCGCTCATTAAACACACCCGTTGCCCATCACGGGGAGGGATGTGTCAATCCCATTTCCTTGCTTACCTTCCTGACATCTTTAGTTGAGCTTTTGCTCCTTCGTTGTCTTCGAAGTGCTCCATCATCTCTCTTTTCTCTTGCTGACATTCCGAAATTCCTCTGTAACACGTCTGGTTTGTCTGCCAGTCTTCATTTATTCCGTTCCTGTGTTTGATCAAGTCCTTTGCTATAGTGGAACTGTCGGATGTCGCAGGTGGGGCGAGTGTGCGAGGAGGGGATTTTCCCTTTCTCAGTTCTGCATTTCGCTCTTCTCTGTAGCCAGCTATGCTGCTTCTTTCTTCCTCCATGCTGTTGTTTTCCCGTTTCCTCCTGAGCGAGTTTTCAGTAAATTTTCCTGTTTATAACTCACTCAACTGAGACATTAAAAATCTCGGAGCTGCTGACATGTAGAGGACCCCGGGTTAGATTTCTAGCAGCATGCTTCCCATTTAGATTGCTGCAGGCTCACGGATATTTGTGTGGCTGCTGGTGCAGGGCTGCCACAGCTCCTCTGCGGTTCTTTCACCCGAGGCTCCGGGTGTATTTAGGGCAGATCAGACTCGTCGAACGAGATCTCTGCTGCTCTATCTCCTTGCCATAAAATAACTTCAAAAGAAACCTGAACTCTTGCCTAGCACTCACCCTGTAATAGAGCCAGTAGGGAAAACAGGATATTTCGGACCAAATTCAGCTCTCATTTGCATGAGGGTGAACATCAAATATTTCGTTAGGCTTTGAGCTTTGCTCTGATGGAAATGAGAACAGAATTGGGTTCTCAGGGTCTGACTGAGCCGGAAAACCGCAGCTGATCTGAATCTTGTCAAGAATTCTTTTTGAAAACGACTTTTCGTTTGAAAATGATTTTACAGGGCAGTCTTTTTCCGGCTGGGATGTTCAAATAGAGGACGGTTTGTTTTGTTAAGCTGTCTCTTGAAGATTGGTCTTGTCCAATTACTTCACCTGAAATCACCTATTCTTGTGTGCAGGCTGTTTCTCTTTGCCGGGGACTTTTCAGGAAAGAAAGCTCCAGTTAAACTGCGAAGACCCTGGCCATGCTTGTGGACAGGGTGGACTTTCACCCCATCCCGTGTTTCTCTTTCGGAAGATGTTACTCTCATAACTCTCATCCCTTTTGCAGTCCAGCTGCTGCCTCGCCTCTGCGTGGAGATGAGCCTCAGCAGCTGGGCTGGGCTTGTCCTCGCAGGATGCTCAGGGCTCGGTGACGAGGAGCTCCCTTAGCCAGGAGGGCCAGCAGGCATTGTGGGTGTGTTTCCATGGATTTGTGAGAACTGGCTACGCGGTTTTATCCGACTTGCCTGGGATTTGTGTTGCATTTCAGCGGGATGGTGGGGGGAAAAAAGAGAGCGGAGTTAGCCACAAGCTTTGGGGGAGCTCCAAGGGTCCCAGCCCAGATGCTCAGAGCTTGTGCCCCATTTAAATAGAAGCAGGCTGAATGCACTGTTGGAAAACAACATATGTCTTCCTAAGGCTTGCTCAGAGTAGTTAGTTCATTTTGATGGTGTGATTACCTGTGTGGGTATACAGAGAATTAAGCTGCCGTCTTTTACTGCCAGTAATAAAACACGGTTTTTATGTTGTTTCATTGCTTACTCCCCTTACTGTTGCCTGGAAATGCTGCTGTGAATTTGGGGCTGGATCTTAGGCACGTTGGTGTCCTGGTGAATCGGCGTGTGGCTCAGAAACTCCTGCTCACTTCACATAGACACGGTGTGGAGTCCGTGCTGCTTAAAGCACAGTGTAGCCACGCCGTGGAAACTCCCTCTGGACCCAAAACCGGCATCGTTCCAGAGCTGCCCTTGCTCTCTGTCGCTTCCCTGACACCTTGCTGTAATCACAGAATGGCTAGGGTTGGAAAGGACCTTGTAGTTTCCCGGGTGTTCCTTATTTCCTTTTTTAAAAATGGGGGTTATGTTTCCCCTTTTCCAGTCTGCGGGAACTTAACCAGAGTGCCACGACTTCTCGAATATGATGGATAGTGGTTTGGCAACTTCATCTGCCAGTTCCTGCAGGACCCGTGGATGTATCTCATCAGGTCCCATGGGCTTGTGCACCTTCGGGTTCTTTAGATGGTCTGGAACCTGATCTTCCCCTACAGCTGGTGGTTCTTCCTTCTCCCAGCCACTGCCTTTGTCTTCTGCAGCTTGGGCAGTGTGGCTTGAGCTCTTGATCACAGTGCTTTCGTTCACTGCTGCCTTGGCAGGAAGGATGTTTTCATGTCGATGAGATTCTACCCATTGGAAGATCTTTTCATCGTCTGTGCCACTGGCCGGATACCTCTAATATAGGTGTGTGCCGAGGGTGGGTTGTGTAGGAAATGGTTTGCTGCAGGTGATACTGGCTGGAAGATGAAGAAGGTTTCACAGAGCTGAGAAGAAGCCTATGAGGATAACCAAGCCTGCTGTTCTCGTGTCGGGATTTCTGCAGGGAGGTAAAGGTGTCTGCAGCAGGTTGAAACAGGCGTGTTCCCTACTGAGGGCAGCTGGGGCTGGAGTCCCCCGCACCCTACCAGGTCTTCATTCAGAAGGTGGGAAAACTCAGCTTGCCATGTGTTTGGCATCTTGAATTGGGGAAAAAAATCCATTTTCAATGTAGCAAAATACTCCACAGGGAAATTTCAAAGCCCTGAACTCCACTGCTGACGTGTGTGACCGGGATAACGCCCGGCTGATCCCTGGCTGTCCCTGTGCAGGGCAGATGGGGACTCCCCGGAGGCTGGACCGCCAGAAATGGAAATAACACCAAAGTTCTCGTTGAACGGAATTACAGCGTGCTGAGGCTGGGAGTGCAGAAAGCTGCTTTCCAGCTCACTTCTGGCCTTGCTTCAACATTGAAAATATTTGTGGCATTGCTAGTTAGCTGTTGTGTTTGCATGGTTTGCGTGTTTTTCATTAATGAAAGCGTACTCGCCAGTGAGCACATAGCTTCAGTGCGTTTACAGATACATTGAAAAAAAATCACAACCCAGCAGCGCTGATGTGATTGTACAATGAAAAGAGTTACAAAGAAATTCTGGGGGTTTTTTGCAAATATTAATTTCCTCGGCTTTATCAAAGATCTGAAACTGGCTGGTTTTGAACGTACTTCACAGCGCTCCGAGCTAACATTATGAAGAGCAAAACCTTAGATCCTTCTGCAGCTTTTCATTAATCTCTGTTTTAAACATGGGAGAAGTTACTGTAATAGCGACCAAGTATTTCTGGGAAAAGACCAGAGGACTCTGCCACTCTTTTTTTTTTTTTTTCTTTTTTTTTTTTTTTTTTAATAAGCACAATAGTAGTTTTAAAACAGATCCAAACCGAGGAGGCAAAAGAATTGCCTGGGATCTGGAGTGAGACGGAAAGCCAG